GTGCAAAATTAAAATAGTCACTTGTAATGTTTCGAAAATAACCCCAGGAGAGAGAGTACATTGCCTACGGCAACACATTTTGGGCGGAGGGTGGCGAGCCCGTGGGTGCAGCGCGCAGCTGCAGGACCCACGCCCCGCCCCCCGCGCGCGCCTGGGGAGGTGGCGCCAGGGCCGCTGATCCTCTGCATTTGCCAGCCTGGAGGCTCCTGGCCGCTGCTGCGATCTCCCTCAGTAGAGCAGAGGATGCCGATGAGGCACCCGGCGGCGGGCCACTGGAGATCGAGGGGAGACGGGAGCTTTGCAGGCTGAAGCCTTGACCGCAGGTGGCGGAGCCGCGGCCTGAGGTGGACTCTGAGGCCGCCAGAGCTGGGTGCTGTGCAGGAACCGTTGGCCACGGGAGTGAAGGAGCACTTTAGGAGGTTTCAGCAGGCCTGGCGCCCAAGCTTCCCCAGTGTGGATTGAGGGGTTAGGGACTGGGCGTGATGAGGAGCAGGAGTAACTCGGGAGTCCGCCTGGACGGCTACGCTAGGCTGGTGCATCAGACCATCTTGTGCCATCAGGTAAGTGTAGGCAAGGCTGAAGTGTGAGCAGCTGGACACTGACCCTGGGTGAACCCTGGAATGCTTTTGCCTCTGGGGAGGCCCTAAGAGGTCCCGAAGGAAAGTTATGTGCTGAACCTCGAGTAGAACCAAACTGTGGCATGAAAAGCCACAACCCCTCCCCACCCCCAACCCCTCTTCAGTCATTCCAGATAGTTTCTGAGCTCAGAAGTAACCGCCGCCCCCCCCCCCGCCCCCATCCCCAGCTACAGCTGGGTTCCAGGAGCAGAGTTGCAAGGGGCGATAACACTTGTTATCCCCTTGATAACCCTTACCCCCCCAAGATGCAGGCCAATATTTAGCCATCCTAAGAGACCTTATACTATTGTGAAGGTAGTTTTCTTTGTATCTTCGTGTATTCTTTCATTGTTTGGCTCAGTGGTCTAGGCTGGCCTTGAATTTAGGAATCCTTCAGCCACAGCCTTCCGCATTTGCATAACAGACCACAAGCTAGTGGGTTTTTTGGTTTGTTTCCTAGTTGTTTTAGTTTTGTTTCTTTGTTTGAATATTTGGATTTCACCATGTAGTCCAGGCTGACTTCAAACTCACCATCCTCCTGCTTCATCTCCCCAGTGCTGGGATTACAGGTATGTACCACTGCACCTGGATTATATATTCCTTTGGGGGTTGTTGGTTTGTTTTTGAAACCAAGTCTTTGTAGCCTATGATGGCTTGAAACTCACTGTAGTCAAGGCTGCTGACCTTGAAATAGAATCAGTCTTCCTGCTTTAGACTCTCCAGTGGGGGAATTATAAGCATAAGGCACTATATATATATATATTTTTTTTTTTCTAAATATATTTTCCTTCAGGTTTTTCATTGGTAGTTGAATTTAAATAAAACATTACATTTTTCTGTAAATCAGCACTTAGCAGTAGCCTTGGTAATACAGTTGCTACTACCTTAATGATTTATTATTATTAATTAATTATTTTAGTAATACCTACATTTTGGACCTGTAAACTTTCAGCCAGCTCTTTCCTTATTCATGTGGAGAGAGAACAAATTTCCTGTGAAAATATGAGTATGTTCTGCAATGCTGATTAGAAACAGCAGCACACTGACTAGTCCACAATACTTTTTTGTGTACCCAAAACTTGCTGAGTAAGTTCCACCACCATATCAAATTGAGGTGATTGACTTGAATATGCTGTTCATGTCACAGTACATTCATGTATGTGTGTCAAATCATCATTTTTCACACTGTAAATATGTACAGTTTTTACTTTCAAGTAGAACTCGGTAAAGCTGGGGGATGATATCTGCCTGCAACTGGTCAAAAGAGAAGAGGGTTCTAAAACTCAAGATTGGGAAGTATTCCCTGGATTCTGTTTACTTTAACACTCTTAGGTTGGCTGCCTGTCTTCTTGATTGTTGTTGTAGAATCCAGTGACAGGCTTGCTTCCGGCGAGCTATGATCAGAAAGATGCCTGGGTCCGAGATAATGTGTACAGCATCCTGGCTGTGTGGGGTTTGGGCATGGCATATCGGAAGAATGCGGACCGTGATGAGGACAAGGCAAAGGCCTATGAACTGGAGCAGGTAATCAAAACAATTATGTAGAGACGTGTTACTATGTGCACCTGTAGTAGGGGGTCAGGAGTTGGAGGAAATATGGTCCTATACCACCTTGCTGGAATTGCATTCTGTAAAATATTTCCTGTACTGTAACTGAAGTGGTTTTGGTTTGGTTTGGTTATTGCAGTGGAAACTTGAAACCAGCTGGTTCAAGGAAAAGGGTTCAGTATGTTGATTACTTTTGAAAATCTACCTTGATGTATTTCCTAAAATTAGTAAATCCTCTAAGAGTATTTTCAGGTCCCCCCGCCTTATTTTCACTGGGAAGGATATTTGGGAGCACATATGCAGTGTTTTACTTATTTTTGAAAATAATTGTATCTGTGTGAGTGGCACTGACACACATCAACAAACAGGCTTTCCTTGTTAGACAAAAATAATGACTTTGCTGATCGTCATGGCTGTGACCAGTACTGAGCCCATTGCCTGCCTGAGGACAAAGTGAGGTCAGAGTCAGCAGGTGACTTTAGGCCAACGTTTAAGGCACCTTCCCCTCAATAAATTAGCATCCTTTATAGAACTTCTGAACACAGAGGGAATACATCCTCTGATGTGTCTAAAAGGCAATCATTTGGCATCTTTTGGATTTCACAATACCTTTAATGATAAAGTGCTCTGCCGTTAGTTTTAAGTATATGTAGATCCTCTTCTGTTAGCGAGAAGGAGCCTTACCACACCAGCTGCTTTCGCCTGTCATCTCCCTTGAACTTAGGAAATAAGAGCTGCAGCTATGATCTATAAATCAGGATATTGGGATGTGGTTGTTTTTAACAGCAGCAATATATTCAGAAGTTGTAGTTCCTGGCAGTCGGACAAGCCTTGCAGTGTTATCTTCAGCAGCAGCAGGCATTTGGAATTCTTTCAAGCCATTACTGAGAGAGGCAAAACATTGCTGCAGTTTTTGTTCTGGCTGAGGAAGTACAGGCTTTTATAGAAATAATGCCATACGAGAAAACTGGAAAACATAGGGAGTAAATTTTTAAACCCCCCTAGTCCTATATGCTACTCTGGATTGTGTGTTATTTTGATCTCAATAGTTTGTTCCTTGTTTTGATTTGCTATAAATTAATATCGGTACGTTAATGACGTGCCTGATATAATTTTATCAAAATTTTAAATATTATTAGTATAAATCTGTTATCCCATCATTCTGCAGAGTTGGTGTCTTTCCTTATTTGACCTAAGTGGAAAAATGAGGAAAAAAGTGAATTGCCAGCTCTAAAATTTTAGTGGCCTGTTCTGAGAAATGTTTTTATATCACCATATTTGTAACTTTGGAATGTTTCAGAACCTTATGAAAATTAGAAACAGTTTCAGAAACAAAAGTTCCTATGGGAGTTCTAAACTTTATATGGATTTGTTTTGTGAATCCAAAAAATTTGATTATCAGGTCTTATGTTAAAAAAAAAAAAACAACTCAGCATTAATCTAGACTGGGGATTAAAAACCCGCCCATCTTTGTAAATGATCAGAGAGTGAATGTCTTTGGTGTATATGTCACTTGTTTTTAATTACTCAATTCTGTAGGTATAGCAGAAAAGAACCAGAGATAATATTTAAAACACTAGCACGGTAATGTTCCAATAAAACTTTATTTACAAACACAGTGATGGGCTGGATTTGTCCCTGACTCAGATGAGTAATTCTCAGCTCTGGCTGTACATTGGGTACTTGGAACACTTTTCAGAGATATTCTTACTGGAGTGTTCTTTAATTAAATTAGAATCTGGAAATTACATCCATGATCATTAGTATTTTTTAGTTACCTAGGTGATTTCAATATAGACAGATCTAATAATGTGTCTAGATAACAACTGATCTATGACTAGTAAATGAACATAAAATAAATCCAATACATCCACAGACTAAATTTCTACCTGCTGCCAACTTGCCATTACTGTGTGGATTTTCCCCAAATCATTGTCAGTCATTTATGTCATTTCTTCCAACTCTCATTTTGGCTTCTCTCTCATAAAATCAGAGAATAGACGAGAAATGTGGATGGAAATAAGAAATGGATTTAAGTAACTTCCTTATTTTATGTTGGAAACAGTTATGCACAAATATACTTTTACAGATGTCCCCTTTCTTGAGCATATAGATAAAGTCTCTTAAAAAAAAAAAACACTCAGGCAAATCGAGATCTCTCTTTGGCAGCCTCCACTTCTGGATCTTTCTCAGTTTATTCTCTTTGTATCATCTCTCCTCTTTTTTTATGCCTTTTCTATTACCTTTATGAGAATGATTGCCAGCTCTCTTCAACTCTGATCGCAGTTGAGATCCAAACTCCCGTTTTTATTTGTCTGCTCACTAGTCTTCTCTGTGTGTCCTGTGGTTCAGCAGACTTTGTGTGCCTGAAAACCCACCTTTCCAAGTAAAGCCAAGCACAATGCTCTCCCAAGTCGTAGCAAGTGTTTCTCTTCATGGTCACCCTCAAGGTATTATTTGGAAAAATTTCAAGGTATGATCTGTGGAACATGAGGCTGATTTGAGCTCTTCTACACCTTGAAACAGAAATCTTTGTAGAGAACTGGAGAAACTGTGCCACGCTGTGTTGTTCTGAAACACACTCACGACCCACGCCAGGCATGCGTGTGATGTGCACATAATCAAATCACTCGTACATGTAAAGTGAAAGACGAATCTTTAACACTAAAAGGAAATTTTAAATAGAAGCATGTGTGGAGGCTGTCAGGCTGTAGGATCCTTAGAGCCTTGGAAGCTGACTTGCTCCTGTTCTTTAGGTGGATTCTCTCCTATTTGATGGCTGGTTTGTTTTTAGCTAGAACTGCCTGCAAAAAGAAAGCCTATACTATTATTTAAATCCAAGGAATCATGACTATAGCTCTTGATTCAACTTTTAGCTGCAGTCTGTTGTGTGTACCTATAAAGTAAGTGCCATGTAAATAGAACCCGGGATAAGGTTACTTGTTCTCAAAAGGTCATGTACCAACCGAAACTGCTGAGTAAGTGTTCTTGTATCTCAGTATGTTTAAGTCTCGTTTCCGTTTGTTTCTGCAGAGTGTAGTGAAGTTAATGAGGGGACTGCTGCACTGCATGATGAGACAGGTACGGCACTGGCAACAGCTTCTAAAAGACGTAACATTTTAATAATGCTTGTAGCCTTTTATCCAGAATCACAAATAGTACACTCTAAATTTAGAAGTGTGGGAATGTCACACAGACTCACCACCCTGTTATAGCTGGAATGATTTCCTTCCAGTCTTTTTCCTTCCTTTACAAATACTTTTTCGGGGCTGGAGAGATGGCTCAGTGGTTAAGAGAACTGTCTGCTATTCCTAAAGGTCATGAGTTCAATTCCCGGGAGGCCACGTGGTGTTTCACAACCATCTACAATATGAGCTAATTCCCTCCTCTGGCAGATGTAAGTGCAGACAGAACACTCATATACATAAAACAAAAGACTTATTAAAAAAAAACAAATACTTTTTCATAAAAAAAACCATTAAACTGTTTGCAATTATGTGTCCTAGATAAAGCATGATACAGGTCTAAAAGAAGCCTCATCTGAAGTGCTTAGATCCAGATCAGTTCTAGAACTAATAAATTTTCAGATTTTTAAAAATATAGCACAGTCCCCATTATCATATAATTCCTCATGTCTTCAGTGGACAGAAAAAATCATAGGGAATCATTTCTTTTGCATTCAATGGAATAAAACCTATAAATAACGCTATGTTGATTTGAATTCAAAGTTTTCACCAAATGAGTTTTGATATAAAATGTAGGTAGAAAAATATTTTTGTTTGTTTGGTTGGTTGGTTGTTTTTTGAGACGTGGTTTCCCTATGTACCTGGGCTGTCCCGGACTTGCTCTGTAGACCAGGCCTTGAACTCACAGAGATCCTCCTGTCTCTGCCTCTTGGACTGCTGGGATTACAGGTCTGAACCACAGCACCTGGCTCTTTTAAAGTATTTTTCAATTTTAGGACTGGGGATAAGGAATCTTGAAATTGAAGTGATTGGCATTCTCTGACCTTGAGCATAGCTGAACATCCTTTTAAATGTGAATTGAAAGTCTGCAGTCCCTTACTGGTGAATTACCTGGTATAGCGTTGCCTCTTTTCTTTGCAGGTTTCTGTTTTGCCTACTGAGTTCCTGTGTATTATGAATATAATCATTTGTCACATACATTGCAAATATTTTTACCATTGCCATTTAGCTTTTTTAAGTTCATGACGTTTTCCCCACACAAAAGTATTTTCCTCAGAAACCTTTATTCTGGGATCTTAAAACACATACATACTGAATCTGACTTAATTAGATCTTGTCTACAAATGATTTTTAAATGTATATACAGTTGCATATTGTATGTATCTCTTTACTAGTCTCACATATATCATTTTTCTCTTTATACCTCATTTGTATTTTATATTTTCATATTTTCTGTCTTATCAAATAGGTATAGTTATAAATTTTCTGAACCATGTTTAAGATGTGCTGGTATTATCATACATCTGAGACATAAATGATCACATTTGCATTTCAGGGATGAGGTCAGGTCAGTTGCCATTTACCCAAGGTCAGGAGTTCTTTTGTCCGTATGTGTGTGTTAGGACTGGTCCCAGAGCCTTATGCAACTTCAGGATACATAACCACTAAGCTATATCCCCGATCCCAATGATTCTCTTCTAATCTGTAAATTTAGCTTTCTATAATACTACTTCTCTGTAACTCTGTACAGTTCTCAGTAACTCTTTTCATGGCATCTTCAAATTTCATCCCCTTGGGGTTAGGGAGATGTTTCCACGTTTAAGAGCATATATTATTCTTACAGAAGATCTGAGTTTGGTTCCTAACACCCATGTTGGGCTTGGGAGGCTTACAGCTAACTGTCTGTAACTTCAGCTCCAAGGAATCTGATGCCCTCTTCTGGCCTCTGAGGGTGCCCTATGTACACAAAGACACACACACACACACACACACAGACACACACACACACACACAAATAAATAAATAAAGAATATCTTTGTCTTGCAATTTATCTTCAGATTCCTCCTTTAATCTCAGGAACAAATGTGTAGCAATGAGTTATTTTAATAACTCTTCTTATACACTTGAACTTCCAGTTTCTCTACAATATGGCAAAGTAACCATTTGAAAAGTATATAATGAACAGGAAATAGCTGTCTTTGGCCATTTGTTTTTTTTTTATTAAAAATGACAGATTTCCTCAGTGTAGGAAAAAAATACAGGTAACAACATATTCCAAATATTCACAATTGCCTGAAGGCAGAGTGCAGTGATGTATGTCATAGCGCTACAGACGTATGACAGGCGGGTTGATCTTTCTGACTGGCTCCTTATGCTGTTTTGTTTTCAGGTGGATAAAGTAGAGTCCTTCAAGTATAGTCAGAGTACTAAAGATAGCCTGCATGCCAAGTACAACACCAAAACTTGTGCCACCATAGTGCGTGATGACGAGTGGGGACACCTGCAGCTGGATGCTACTTCTGTGTACCTGCTCTTCCTAGCACAAATGACTGCCTCAGGTGAGTTCAAGGAGAGAATGACTGTTTGTCCCTAGGTTTGGAGCATCTACTCTAGTTTGTCTGGCTTCTCTGTTGGTGTTGGCCAGAAAGTAAAATATCTGTTTATAGTGCTCAAAGAAGCCCATTAGAAGAGGGAAGGAGGGTGGGATTGGGAGGGAATGAGGGAGCGGGACATGGCTGGGATACAGAGTTAATAAAATGTAACTGATAAGAAAAAATAAAATTAAAAAAATATGTGAAATATCAAAAAAAAAGAATCAGAATGTAGCATTTATATGTCAGAATGATCCTAGAGTTATGAATTAAAACAGATTCTGAAACAAGGAAAAGTATTGCCAAATGGTTTATTTGCCATTTGATGAATAAAATCTGCATATATTTTAAAAAAGAAAAGAAAATAAATCTGTTTTGTACAGTTAGACAACCTTTATGAGCAATAAGCAATATCTTATTGTATTGAGAAACAAATTTGCAGTGCTATTACTCTTTTAAAATGGGAACCTGGAAATCTGGGCTAGTTCTTTAGACAGGCATTTTTATTATTTACTAATTCTCAGATGCCGGGAGATACAAAGGGTGAGGGAACTTTCTTATTTTCACACTATACACCAATAAGCCTATGCTTCAGGTAGCTATAAAATTACCCACTTTATATGCTCTCTATGAATATGATCTGAACCTAAAAGTGTACGTTTTCTTATGAAACAATATTCTCTGTAAGTAGTTTCACGATTATCTTCAGATTCATGATATATATAAGAAAATTAAAAGAAATATGGTAGCTCACAACTGTCTGTATCCTAGCACTTGGGAAGCAGATATAGGAGGGCTGTTACTAGTTCCAGGCCAGCCATGGTTAAAATAGCAACTTCTAGGCCAGTCAAAGGTACATAGTGAGATCCTGTCTCAAAAGAAACAACAACAGCATAATTACCTTTATAGATATAAGACTGGAAATATAAACAACCCTATTCTATGGAATTTTTAAACTTAATAACATTTTTAGGTCATTTAGAGTAAGTTAATGTATTCACAATACCATGTTTTTCTGTGGTGCTGGGGTTTCAGCACAGGGAATCATGTATGTTACACAAAAACTCTACCACTAAGCTGAAATTCTATTCTCTTTTTGAGAGAGGGTCTCACTAAACAGTCTCGGCCAGAATTCCTTGACACTAAAGGCATCCAAAGAGGGAATTTCTTCAGAATACTCTTTTTTTTCTTTTTCAAATAAATGTTTAGTGATAAACTGTGGTTCTTTATTTTAATTTAATTTAATTATTAGTCACAGTTTATTCACGCTGTATCCCAGCTGTAGCCTCCTTCCCCTCCCCTCCGAATCCCACCCTCTGTCCCTTTTCCTCCCCCAGTCCAATGATAGGGGACGTCTTCCTCCCCTTCCATCTGACCATAGTCTATCAGGTTTCATCAGGACTGGCTTCTTTGTCTTCCTCTGTGGACTGGTAAGGCTGCTCCCCCATCCGGTGGAGGTGATCAAAGAGCCAGCCCATGTTCATGTCAGAGATGGTCCCTGGTCCTATTATTGGGGAACCCTCTTGGATACTGAGCTGCCTTGGGTTTCTTCCATGCAAGGGTTCTAAGTTATTTCCATGCTTGGTCCTTGTTTGGAGTATCAATCTCAGAAAAGACCCCCGTGCCCAGATTTTTTGGTTGTTTTGCTCCCCTTGTGGAGCTCCTGTTCATTTCACTCCTAGGCACATATCCAAAAGGTGCTCAACTATACAACAAGGACATTTGATCAACCATGTTCGTAGTGGCTTTATTTGTAATAGCCAAAAGCAGGAAACAACCCAGATGTCCCTCAGTTGAGGAATGGATACAGAAATTTTGGTACATTTACACAATGGAATACTACTCAACAATTAAAAACAAAGAAATTATGAAATTTGCAGGCAAATGGTGGGATCTAGAAAAGATCATTGTGAGTGAGGTATCCCTGAAGCAGAGAGACACACATGGTATATACTCACTTATAAGTGGATATTAGACATATAATATAGGATAAACATACTAAAATCTGTACATCTAAGGAAGCTAATCAAGAAGGAGGACCATGGGTAAGATGACCAATCCTCATTCAGAAAGACAAACGGGATGGACATCAGAAGAAGGAGAAAACGGAACAGGACAGGAGCCTATCACAGAGGGCCTCTGAAATACTCCACCCAGCAGAATATCAAAGCATATGCTGAGATGCATAGCTAAACTTTGGGCAGAGTGCAGGGAATCTTATGAAAGAACAACTGTGGTTGTTGATCCACTTCACTCTACTTCGTCCCTGGGACTTCCAGGTACCACTGCACACAGGCTGGGAAGGATGGAACAGAGCTGGAATGGGTAGGGTCTGCAGGATCCCAGTCTGGCTAGGAGTTCGGAGGCAGGGAGAAGGCTCTCTTAGGGCTCCCAGTGAAACAGCAGCTCTTAGACGATATTCACTGAAACTGCTTGTACGTTTTATTCGGGGTGAACAATAACTATATGAACCTTGGGGAGTGGAAAGGGATTTTTAGAGTGGGTGCATATCATTGCCTGGGGCTGAGATGGTGGAAATCCTCTATTTATCTAGACAGAAATTACAGGTGCTAGGTTATGTGACTACCTTGAGAATTCTGGGGTTGGGCGCCACAGGACTATATGAGCCAGGGCATGAAGGCATAGACTGGGAGGGAATGATCCTTACGCCTGCGGGTCTCAAGACTGGGATATTTCGGACTTGGACATGACTCAACATCACTCTAGCTCCGTGCCAGTTTCCTCAGTAAAACAGTCCACATGCTCCACAATAAACTCTATTTTTTAATTCTAGAACACAGCCTAAAATATGAATAACCTTTCTGCAAAATATCCAATTAGTCTCCCTTTTGGAGGAGAAATTCCTTCCAAAATAAATATAATTTTGTTTTATTTCTTTAAATAGAATGGTAGTTATAATTTCATTTTGAATAATATATTTGTTCCAACTCTGGAAGGTGTTTTTTATTTTTAATTTTTAAATGTTTGAATTCCCTTTGAGACAGGGTTTCTCTGTGTAGTCTTAGCTGTCCTGGAACTCGGTCTGTAGACTAGGCTGGCCTCAAACTCAGAGATTCACTGCTGCCTCTGCCTACTGAGTGTTGTAATTAAAGATGGGAACCACCACTGCCCAGCTTTGTTTGTTTGTTTTACTTTTTCTTTTTTAACAAAGCAGGCACTGACTAAATATCCATGGTAGTTTTTAAATGTGATTTTCCAAGATGGAAGTAGAGATACATTAAAAATAGCTACATAAGACATATTCGTTAAACAAATGTTTATTGATTCCTAACTTAATTACTTTTCAATTCAATCAGCTGCCCTTGATAGTGCTTATAATAAAGTGGGTATTATTTGGTTAAGTCTTTGAGAAATAAGCATGAATACTTTGAGAAATAAATACAAATGAGTCAAAAATTGCAATTCAGAAAGGGAAGGGAATAATAATAAATATACAGAAGTTTGAAAGGCATTGGTCATCAAAGTAAGGCTGGATGTCTAGATAGAATGTTAGGTTTAGCTGTTTGAGGACTTGTATACCATCCTAAATAGTTTGGAATTCTAGTCTGCCATCAGTAAAGAGCCATTTGGTATAAATAATCAAGGAACTTTAAGGTGGTTTGTTTTTGTAGCAGGAAAATAGGGGAGATAAATTAAATGAGGAAGAAAAATTAAGATGCAAAACTAGTAAAGAGGCTAGTGAAATACTTTAATAAGAAATAATATTAATTTTTACAATGCATTTAGATTGAAATTTAAAAGGAACATTGTTATATAAAACTGGTGAAAAGAATATGAAGATCTTCATAGAGAATTATCAATACCTTAAGTGTTTTTGAATACTTAGTAAAGATCGATTTAGAGAGAAATTGATTGTAGCTTACAGAATGGTAGCATGAAGAGCTTGATTGTCTCCAGGAAAACAGCCAAAAATGCTAAAAATTTAAGAACATCCAACCTTTTGAAGCCTTTATAATTTGCACAAATTGATAAATGGTAAGTGGAGAAGCACTCCAAAACAATCTAATTATTGAGAGCAGTGAGGTTCTGTGGTAGCTGGTCTCAGCTTAACCCTCTCCTATCCAAACTCAGGACAATAGGAGCACTCCAATTTGAGGGGGATATAGTCAGAAAACAGGCTTCCTCTCTCCTAAGCTCTAGTTCAGTGCTTCTCAGCCTTCCAAATGCTGCAACCCTTTAGCACAGTTCCTTGCGTTGTGGTGACCTCCAACCATAAAACAACTTTCATTGCTACTTCATAACTGCAATTTTGCTGCTGTTATGAATTGCAATGCAAATATCTGTGTTTTCGATCGTTTTTGCAGTCATGACCCACAGTTTGAGAACTGCTGCTCTGGAGTAAGGCTCCTGAATCTCCCTTAGAATACAGGCTAGCATCACTTATCATTACCCCAAGCTCTGTATTTCAGAAGCCCTAGTCCAGGCAAGTGGAGCTTTGGGATCCTCCATACTGCTAGACACTTGTGGAGTAGAATCCACCTCAGACACAGCAGAGTGAGATTACTGCATTATCTACCTCTTGATGGAGTCAAACACTCTACACTGGAATATGCAGTCTGGGAAGATCACTAGCTATGACTCCTGACGAGAACTTACTGTGCAAAACAGGAGTGCCATTCCAAAATAAATGGGCCGCTATACTCACCACCTGTGCTAGGGCACTGGTACAGAAAATTTAATGGACAGTAGAAATAGACTGTAAAAGCAAAGCTCCTTAGCTCTTCTTAAGAAAATTAACTTTTCAGAGAACGTTTGAGAAAGTTCAGCGTAGATTTTGGTTCTCCATAAGATGAAGGGCTGGACCGGTGGCTTAGCAGTTAAGAGCAGTGGCTGCTCTTCCTAGGGATCTGGGCTTGATTCTCATCATCTACATGGTGGCTCACAATCGCCTGCAACTCCAGTTCCAGCGGATTTGATGCCCCCTTCTGGCCTGCCCAGCCATATATGCAGGCAACACACACACACACATCAAAGTAAGTTTCTTTAAAAACACATCTAAATAATTAAGATGAAGTTAATTGTTCAGTAACAGGAAGAAATTAAAAGAAAGATTAGCTAGAAATTTTAACATTCAAACTTAAGAGTTCTCCCAGGTGTTAGAACAAGTATCAAAGAATTGACTCAAAGATGGTTGCAGAAAGGGTCTGAGGTTAGCTGTTTGAAATGATGGAACAATTTGTGTTTGGGAACTCTATAAAACAATAGAGCAATAAGTTGAAATCAGTGGTGGGGGCTTAGCTTGATACTAACAGAGGCAGATATTTACCTGATCTTGGAAAGAGATAGTTAATGAGCTCCTTTCCCCCAAAACAACAACAACATTGTCTTCTTAAGGTGACAATGGATGTCCCTAAGGCTATATCCATTGAGGCTGCAGGCTATGCTAGAATAGATTATACTGAAGTGCTTCAGTCAAATGTCTAAATAAACAAAATTCCCAGAGAAGAAGATAACAGGATCTAACACGCTCACAACATATTGTGTAACACCTACCCAGTTTTATATTAAAGCTGTAGGGGAAAAGCAACAAGAAAATAGAAATATGCAGTGGTACACACCTGTATCTCAGCACTCAGGAGGCAGAGGCAGGGAGATTGTGAATAAGAGGCTACCTGGGATACATAGCAAGGCCCTAGCTAAGAAAGAAAGGGGGAAGAGAGAAAAGGTTGAAAAGAGAGTGGGAGAGAGAGACTGGGGGAAGGGTCGGGGGAGAGGCAGGCATGCACACCTGTAATCCTAGCACTTAAGAAGTGGTGACAAGAGGATTGAGAGTTCAAAGCCAGGATCAGGTACATAGTGAGTGCAAGGTCATTTTAGGATACATGAGATTCTTCTCAATAATCAAAACCAAGCAAAACAAAGAAACAACAACAAGAAAAGAACAGGAGGGAAAGTTCCCTTGCATATGATGCCAAACATATAGACATCTATAGAAAAAAATCATAATTGCAATTTACCAAAATTAACATCAAGGACCCAGTCAAGAAAGTAAAAGAGGATCTATTATAGCATGATGCCCACTTGTAAGCCTAGCACTTGGGAGGTGGAGTTTGGAGGATTCAGAGTTGAAGGTCATCTTCAACTAAATAGCAAATTCAATGCTAACCTGTGAGACCCCATTAAAACAAACAAACAAACAAACATCCCCCTCTCTCAGTGTATGTATGCATGCATGTATGTTTTGTATTTGTGTCGTGTGTGTGAAGTCTTCTATAGATACAGAAGAAAATATTAGCAAATCATATATAAGCTCTTTGTATCTAGTAGAAAGAACTCTCAAAGTCATTATTTAGGAGATCAACAGCATAATTAAGTGAGATATGGTGGGGTGGTACATGCTTATAAACATAATAGTTGGAAGCCAAAGGCATGGGGATATCAAGTTTAGACCACAGAGAGACCCTGTCTCATAACAAAAGAGAAAAATGAAAAAAAAATAGCCTTCTTTAAAACAATCAGAGTAGGTTAGAGAGATGGCTCAGTGTTTAATAGCACTGGCTGCTCTTCCAGGAGACTTGAGTTCAACTCATAGCATCCACATGGTAGCTCACAATGGTCTGTAACTCTAGTTCCAGGCAATCTGACACCTTTGGAATCCACAGACACAGCATGAATGTGGTACACAGACATATATTCAGGCAAATCACTCATATGCATTGAAAAATGCTCAATTAAAAGAAGTGGCTACAGGATATGAACTGATTCTTGTAAAGAGCATGTATTAATAACCACAAAGTACATGAAAAGATGCTGCTCATCATCAGTCACTAGAGGAATGCTGACCTGAATCGCTGTAAGGAGCATTTCAGACATACTAGAATGGCAGTAATCGAGAAGACAGATTAAAAACTGCTGCTGAAGATATGGAGAAATTGGAATCCTTGTCCACTACTCTGAGAAATGTAAAATGAGGACAAGGGAGACGTCTCCGCAGGTAAAAAGTGCTTGCTACTAAGCCTGACAGCCTGAATGCAGTCCCTGTACCAGTCTGGTGGAAGGAGAGAGCCCACTACCTTCCAGTTGTCCTCTGACTTTGTGTGTACCATGGCATACACACACAAAAATAAATATAACTGAAAATTTTAATGTGAAAATGTTACAGCCACTCTGGAGAGCAGTGTAGCAAAGCCTCAGAAGCTTAAATGTCGAGCTGCCATTATGATCCAGCAGTTTCTCCTAAGTGTGCAGATATTTGAGACTATGGAAACATGTCTTCACACCTAAAGGTGTACATGAATGTTTACAGCAGCATTCTTTATGATAGTTAAAAGTAGAAACAACCCAATGTCTATCACCTGATGGTGGAATAAGTAAAATATGCTGTGTTCACACAATTTAGTATGCTTTTGCAATAAGCAAAGTACTGATGCATTCCACAACACAAAGGGACTTGCAAAAGATTGTGTTCAGTGAACGAACACTGACTTAAAAACTGCATATGATACATTTCCATTGACATGAATGTCCACTGAGTAGGGAATTTCTGTTTGTGGTGATGAACATGTCCCAAAATTGGTTGTGGTAATGAACATATACCATACATACAGTGAAAACCATTATATTATATACTTGGGATCAATGAGTTCTATGATAAACTATCTCAATAAAAAGGATTATAAATTTAGGAGGAAGAAAAATAAAAACCAATAATGCTGGACAGGTAAGTAAAGTCAAGTGAAGTAAAGGTGATTTGAGCTGAGTGTATTGAGTCACCTCCATTTCTGGGGCGCTTCAGTGAGAACCGACCAACTCTATCTTTTTCCCTCAGGACTCCATATCATCCACAGCCTAGATGAAGTCAATTTTATACAGAACCTTGTGTTTTACATTGAAGCTGCATATAAAACGGCTGTAAGTACTTATTTTAGAATGAACCTAAACAGACCAATTTCTCCTTCTGATGTTGAACCTTATAATGAGCTAATCAAAAAGGCTCATGACAAAACCACTTACAGTTTCTTTACAAAGATCTTCATTCCACTGCTTTTCCTGTCATTGATGTGTTACAGAGCTGAAGAAGGCCCAAATGCTATGCTTTCATTTCTTTTAAACTCCATACTTCATGAAGTGTACTTGGCAATTTGAGATTAAATTGTACTTGTTTTATTATATTACTATTCTCATTTACTGTATTTTATTAGGACATCTCTAGCCCAGGCTGGTACTGAACTCACTGCATGAAGATGAGCTTAAACTTCTGATTCTTCTGCCTCTACCTCCTGAGCATGTTGGAGTCACAGGCATTAAGCCACCATGACCAGTTTTATGCTGTGCTTGTAAGTACTAGGCAAGTACTAGACCAACTGAGATATATACCCAACCCATTATGGCCCTATCTTAATTGGAATCTTTAAAAGAAATATGATAACTGAGTGTTGTTATGGGCCATTCGGGTGCACATAAAAATGTATTCATGTGTTTATTGTTGTTGTATCGATTTTGGAATCTACTATACAAAAAGGTTTCTCCCTTATAAACTACCATATGAAGTAGATTCATATTAAATAATCATCTGTAATATTTTATATATAAAAAGTTGTTAGACACTATAGAAATGTGTTTTTTCTTTATCTAATAGGAAGTTTTTGTTGTTCACTGAGACTTCCTTCATAATCTCCCAAACTTCAAATAATCCAAATGCACGTGAACAGGTAAAGGAGATAAACAAATTGCAGTATGTCCAAGAAAGGCAATATTATTCACCAATAAAAAATGAACTATTGACCCATGCAAGAACATGAATAAATCTAAAAAGCATTTTGTTAGTTGAAGAAATCTCCTAGAAAATGTACACAAGCCTGGGCATGGTGGTATAAGCCTTGAATCTCAGCACTTGGGAGGCAGATGCAGGTCGATCTTTATGGTTTTGAGGCCAGCCTGGCCTATATAGCAAGGTCCAAGCCATCCAGGACGACATAGGGAGACCCTTTCTGAAAATGTGTGTGTGTGTGTGTGTGTCTGAACATACACACATACACATGGGTACACGCTTGTATGTATTATGTATATATACACATATGTACACACACAAACCTAGAGTGTGATCACACTAGCAAAATTCTAGACGTCTTTAATGACAAGAAGCAGATTTGTGATTCATAAGAGGACAGAGGAAGATATGAATTTTGGAAGCCATGAGGAAACTTTGAAAGTTTTTGAAAATATCTTTTATTGTGATGATAGTTTCGCACACATAAATATAATTAATTAATCACAGTGGCACCAGGTAGGTGGCTCAGTGGTTAAAGGTGCTCTCGGCCGAGACTGATATCCCGAGGTCAGTCCTTGGGACCTCCATGGTATAAGGAGAGAATCAACTCCTTCATATTGTCCTCTAAGTATTACATAGTGCCTGTGCTATGTACACGCAAACACACATGCACACACATGCAAATGTAATAAACATTTTCAATTAAGAAGAATCATATTTTGTAGTTGAAATATATTCAGTTTTATGTATACTGTTATACATCAATAAAGTTACAAACTTTTTACTCTTGTGGAATGGATAAATGCAATCACTCTAAGACTGGACAAACACTCTGATCTCTGCTTGTGCTTTTACTGTGTTTGCATTTGTTACTGACTACTATCCCCTTGTATTCAACACACTTCACTTCTTTTGTTTTTCTGGTGCTAAGATTGAACACAGGACACATGGTAGGCAAGCACTCTGTCACTGAACTTTATCCCCAGTCAACATTCTCTTTCATTTGTAACTGTTGTATTATTTTAAAAGATAACACTTTTAAGCTGGATTTATCATTTCTGACAATGTCTGTTTCTCCATGCATATGTATATGTATCCTTACCCATTTCTTTTTTGATGGACATACAGTCTGCTTCTGTAACTTCTGCAAATAGGGCTGTAGTATATATGTGTGTGCAGGTTTCTGTGTTATGCTGATTTAGATTCTGTTCGGTATATTTCTAGAACTGGTATAGCTGGATCATGTGGCAGATCTATTTTTAGTTTTTAAGGAACTTCCATTCATATTTTCATAATGCTGGACTAATTTAAATGTCCACCAGCAGTGTGTAATATTTCCCTATATTTGTTGTTAGTTATTTTTATGATGATAGACATTCTGAGTGAGATAAAATCACAGTGTAGTTTTTGGCTTGGTTTGGTTTGGTTTTTTTGAGGCAGGGTTTCTCTGTGTAGTGCTGGCTGACTTAGAACTCACTCTGTAGATCAGGCTGGCTTCGAACTCAGAGATCCGTCTGCATTTGCTTCCCACCATCACCTGGCTCTCAATGTAGTTTTTATTGTTGTACTTTTCATTGAGATAGGCTGGTCTGAAACTCACAATGTAGCACAGACTAGTTTGAAAAATTAATAATGATCTTCTTGCCGCAACTTTCCAAGTGCTGGCATTACAGGACTAGAACACCACATTTGGGTACAGTATAGTTTTAATTTATATTTCCTTAATGGCTAAGAATGTTGAACATTTTTTCGTTTATCTATTAGTAATTGTACTTTGTCTTTTGAGAGCTGTTTGCTCATTTCATTACTCAACTTATTGATAGAATTGTTTGGATTGGGAGTATTAAAATGTTTTTAAGTTCTGTACATGTTCTGAATGTTAATTATCTGTCAGATATATAGCTAAAATATTCTCCTGTTCTATGAAGTAAAACAGGGTTTTCTTTGATACCTCTTGTTGCTGAATAATGGCACAGAAACCTTTTATATTTATTATTATCTTATGGCACTATAGATGCAAAGATCCTCAGCTATTTTAACCTGACTGTATTGGCCTGGCCTGTGTCTCACCACATAGCCTGTTACCTGTCCATCTTAGTATCTAAGATGTTCATGCTTCTACTCCATGTCCAGCTGGTGACTCATGACCCTGAGCTTCCTTCCCAGAGTCCCTGTCTTCTCTCTCTTACCTCAGCTATTGGTCGGTCGGCTCTTTATTTAACCAATCAGAAGAGGGTGGAGAACAGAGTTTACAAAATACTAAGGCAGGACATGAATCATAAAAATGACAGTAGCAAAGTTCAGCTTGTAATCAGCGTTAGAGTAATACAAAGATAAGCTTAACACAGTACACAAAATATCACTCCAACAATACAGTGCCTCTTCACTTACTTTCTGTGCTCTACAGAAGCCTTTTAGCATTATGTAACTCCATTTAGTCAGTTCTTTGGGATTATTTTCTAAGATGTTAGATACATTTTTAGAATGTTTTGCCTATGACTTTATCTTGAATTCTTTCTCTGTCACTTCCTATAAGCTTCAGAGTTTCAGGTCTTACATTGAAGGTTTTGGTCCATTTGAGTTAGTTTTGTTCAGGGTAGAGGAATGATCTAGTTCTATTATCTTTGTGGGCACCTAGATTGTCCTGCATCCTGGCTGTCTTTTCTCTAGTATATGTCTTTATCATCTTTGTAAAAAAAAAAAAAAAAAACATGTGGCTGTAGCTGTGCAGCATTATTTCTACTTCCGTTCTAAGCCATTGGTCTGTGTGTCTCTTTTTATGCCAGTATCATGTTGGTTTTTAAAACCATGGTTTTTATTATAATTTTTATATGTATTTAGTATTATAATATTTTTATTGTAATTTATTATAATTTGAAATCTTGAAATTGGGTATGGTGACGCCTCCACCTTGCTGCTTCTGCTTTACCCTTCAGGGTCCTTTGTACTTCCATATAAATTTTAGGACTTTTTCTAGTTATGTGAAGAATAACACTGGAATTTTGATACAGACCACACTGAATCTGCAGTTTGCCATTTTCATGATGTTAATTCTGTCAACCAGGAAGCATGGAAAGTCTTTCCATGGTCTGGTGTCTTCTTCCAGTTCTTCAGTTCTTCAGTGTTTAAATTTTTTTTTTTTTTATTATGAAGGTCTTTCACTTCTTTGGTGAGGTTTGTCCCTATGTCTTTTTTTTTTTTTTTTTGAAGGTACTGTGAATGGGATTGTTTTTGTGTATTACTGATAAAAATAAATCTACTGACTTTTCATATGCTGGTTTTTACAGCGTACCTTTGCTGAAAAATTTTTATCAGCTGAAAGTGTTTTCTGGTGGAGGCTTTAGGGCCACTTACATATAGAATCATACAGTCTGAAAATAGGGACAGTTTGACCTTGACCCTTTTGTTTGTATCTCTATTATTTTTTTTCTCTTTTCTATTGTTTCAACTAAGATTTCAAGCAGTATAGTTAAATAAGAAGGGGAAATGGCTCTTCTTGGGGCATTTCTTATTTTACTAGAAATAATTTAAATATTTCCGTACTAAGTATAAAGTTAGCTGTGAGACTGACATATACAGCTTTTTAAAAAAACGTTTCTCCGTGTATTTTATCATCAAGTTTGTCAGACGTTACAGGAGAAATGACAAAAGTTAACTTCTCAACTGTACAAAGACACCCATATAAGTGCACACGATGTGTTAAGTAAGAGAATGTGCAGATGCTTAATTCTGTTGAGTATCTACATTACTACTGGGATAAATGTGAGTTTATTTTTCCAATTGTTTTAGTGCCAGGCTTAAAAGGAAAGTTGATTCTGTGATACAAAGACATCCACCGACAAGATGAAGAAGTCATTTTCACTGCTGTGTTTGCAGGTAGTATCTTACTGCTGTTTTCAAACACAGGGAAGTAGACAAATCCTGCCCACCTGCCAGACCCACAGGGCACGGAATGCATATTCCCAGACATGGGAAACTCATCACTTCCGCACACATCAAGGCATCTAATAACTGTAACATCTTTCCTGGACTGCTAAATTCAACTTTAGCTTCCTTGATTTTCTTCTCATTTCTTCCAATTCAGCCTTTTGGAAATGGTTTGGCTGAAATGGTTTCTTCTTTTCTCAAAAGGCTAAAGTGTACTCTTAGCCAACTGTGACCGTTATAGGTTCAGTATAGAGAAAAAAAAAAATCAAGACCAATGGGAGAAGGTGTGGAGGTAGGCTATTTACTCTGTCAACTGTGGATGTCATTCATATGGCAGAGTTCTCCTTTTTCACTTTTACTAACATCTCTAAGCCTCAGGCTAGTTAGAACATACATATAATGTTAAGTATATTTCTTCTAGTCCTGGATTGTTTAGGGCTTTTGCTGAACTTTGTCAAAACCTCCTTGTGTATCTGCTGAGATCATGATGTGACTGTGTCCTTGAGTCTATTTCTGTGACATATTAAATTAAGTAAATTACACACCATGAAGCATATATGCATCCTTGGAATGAATTCAACTTGGTCATTGTTAATGATCTTTTTAATATATTGTTGAAGGAGGTAGGGGGCACCCACCCTCCGAATGTAAAATACATAAACTAATAATAATAATAATAATAATAATAATATATTGTTGAATGTAGTTTACAAGTGTTGGTCAACACATTAAAGATAATGTCAGATGCCAGGCCACAGAGAAAGA